TGAAGCTGAATGTTCCTTACTATATATGCCAACACATGTGTATTTTATAAGTATAAATGTAATTTTATACATTAAGCATATATGTATTTAAAGTCTGTGATACTTTCAGAAATGTAAACTATTGCTTTTCCTCTAATTTTGAAGGCTGAACCCCAACAGAATTCTCAGCTCTGACTATGACATGTTTTATTCATTTATGACAGCCCTGTAACATCAATCATATCCTGTAGCCACAACTGCAGCCATTATGTTGCTCAGTACTTTCCTTGTAATTATTTTTCAAGTCTTTTCCATAGTACTTAATAAAACATTTTTAATGCCACTATATGGAAACAGAGATAAATCAATTCCATTACCAAGGGCTTTTACGATATGTAGCTTTATTTTAGGTTGCAGTTAATTTTGTATTGCTACTTTTATCAGATCCATGAAATATAGTTTCTTTTTTATTAAAGGTAAGGATTTCAATGTTGCAATCTTGGAAAAAAATTGCATTGTAACAGTGAAGCTCTCCTTTCTTTGTTTCTTTGTCTCTTTCTTTCTTTTTTTCTTTTTTTTTGGCATGGGGGGGAAGCAATCAACCCTCCCTCTCCCATATGTTTCAACTTTCATACTTTTTTTCTTTTTTTTGGCATGGGGGGGAAGCAATCAACCCTCCCTCTCCCATATGTTTCAACTTTCATATCTGTTTTGCCGTCATCTATTCCATTAACCATATGATTAATGAAAGCTCTCCAGGATTTCGAACATTTGAAAACTAGCCAATGCCTGCTCTTTGGAGGCTACACTGAAAATAAATAACAATAAAAACAGGGTGATCCAGGCTTTTGATGTCTTTAAAGAGACTATCACTGTGATCTTAGTGCTACTGCTGTAGAAAAGAGGACAACGTTTTCCATTTCTGGCATTGTTAATGACAACACAGCAACTGAAAGAAAGCATGAATTTCTGGGAATAGTATTAGGATACAGGACTCCTGCAGAGCTCACCAGTTCCTTGCTCTGCACAGCTGCCTTCTCAGCTGGGGGTCTGAAATCAGAAAAGACAGGAATGACCATGATGCATTTTCCTCACTATGAGAAAAAGGTAATGTTCAATTAGTGTGTCAGCCTTCTGGTTTCCAACTCACTTATCCCTGTCTTTTGTTTGTATGTTTTGCTTTGTATCTTCTTGTTTTTGTTGTGGTTCCTTTTCATTTCATTAAATAAAATGCCTAAACTAAAAATGTCTTTGTGCTTGCATTTATGCAAGAAAGATACCACACTTCTTATGGTTTCACTGAGATCAAGAGGAGCAGTGTATACATTCATACTCAGGATATTAATGTGGCTCATGATTACCTAGGGAAGCTTGTGTGCAACACTGTAAAAATACCAGAGCTGAAAGAGTAGAGTCTGTTTTAAAAACGTGCTTCCATCAATGTACCATCTGACTTGTTGAAAATTCATATATTTCTCTTGTTGCTATTCTGTTGTAAAATTGTACCATGGTGTTAATGGTGAGGTTTATACTAAGGCTGGCTTGAGTAATAATAAAATAAATTATTTGATTTCAGTAAAGCAATGCTTTTAATCTTCCAGCCATAAAGCATTATACTATTTCTGTTTTTACTTGTTACAAATTGTACTTGGATTATGTAGATAAGAAATTAATAAGGAAACATGATTTTATAGAATTCTATTTTTCATAGGGTTATTTGGATCTGTTTCTTAAAGAGAAAACCAACTAAGGTTCTTAATAGTATCCTTTTGTTCTCTTTGAAAATACTTTATTTTACTAGCTGAGAATTATCTAGGGGAAAAAAAGCACTCCGTGATGTATGTATGTGTACATGTATGTGTGAATGTATGCTTGAGTCTCCCTGGGGTCTTATGAATTTTTCTGAGATTTTCATTAGCCTTCTGGTTGGAATGCCTTTGAACTTGAATAATATTCTCAGGAATGAAGTTCACGGGTTGAATGTTCATTGA